ATTTCAGTGGTCATAGAGCCACTAAAATAATTTAACGGCTCAGGATGGGGCAATTTCCATTGGATTTTCCCTCCATCCCAGTAAGTTTCTATGAAATATATTTTATACATCTAATTCCTCCTGGTCTAATCATGACTTTATTGTCCATTACTTGAATTTCTTACATTTCCCTCTCTTTTTTGGTCCCATGAAAATAGAATTCATTCCAGCCAGTGAAGATAATTCCTTGTGGGAAACCTGTGGTTGGAAATCTCCCTGTCTGAAATAATTCCGTGTTGGAGACATGCCACCATTCCCATCCTTTCCTTCCCATTCCTTTTTCCTGCACTGCTCCAGTGTTTGGCTCTGGATTGAGCTGTTTGAGCTCTTTCACAGGCAGGGCTTGGGAAGGGTGACAACAAAAGGCCCTGTCATTTTGGATTTGCCAGATCCTGGTATTCCAAATAATTCCTAGGAGTTATTGGTGTGCTCTGCTGTGTCCTCTCCCCATCCATGCCCAGCTCTCAAGCAAACACCCAAAGCTGTGATCCCAGAGGGTCTCATTGGAAACTCTACGTGTTTCAGGATATTTTAGCTGTGCATCCTAAAGAGCAGGAAGAGATGGAATCTTTTCCAGCCTAAAGAAATCAGGCCATTGTCATCATTCCCAAAGACTGCAGATGCCATCAGCAAAGCTCACTGGTCACAGAGGAGAGAATCGTGGAATTGTTTGGGTTGGAAGGGACCTCAAAGCTCATCCAGTCCCACAACTTCCACTGTCCCAGGCTGCTCCCAGCCCCGGTGTCCAGCCTGGCCTTGGGCACTTCCAGGATTCCAGGGGCAGCCACAGCTGCTCTGGGAATTCCATCCCAGCCCCTCCCCATCCTCACAGGGAATAATTCCTTCCCAATATCCGTCCCTGCCCTCTGGAAGTTCCTCAGACAAAGGAAATTCTGGATTTTCAGTGTGCTGTCACAGGGCTGGAGAGAAACCTGCCAGGAGCTTCCTGTCATGGTGCAAATCTGCTCTGCACCCCCCTGCTTAATTCAGCATTAAAGTCTGCATTAATATTATTTTCATTTTGGGGCCTGGCTTTGTAGAAGGCAGGCAGTGGAATTTCCCTGCTGTGGGAATAAATGAGATATTGTAAATAGAATTAGCTTAGAAAGGATTTATAAAGGATTCAGCCAAATTTCCTGAAGTGGGGCATAAATAAAACTATTTCTGAGACCTCTCATCAATATCACCAGAGCCATCTCATTGTGAAACTTCACAGAGCTAAACCCACTCCAGAACTCAAAAAACTGTTCTCAAGTATCTCAAGCAGCTGAATATTCCCACAGAAACATCATCAGAAATGTCTTATCAGAGGTTTTGTCATCAACCAAGAGCATTTCTGGATTGATTTTGCTGCTGCTAATCCACAAGGACTCAAATTTACATCAATAATCCCATCAACACCCAACCTTCAATGCACACAAGATAAAAAAGAAGAAATTGTTGGTGTTCTGCTCCCACCAGCAGAAAGGATCAAGAGGGTCCTTTTGTATCCCAGCAGTTCAAATCCCATGGGATGATATTTTTAAGGTATTTAAACTTGGATAATCACTGGGGATGATTATGTACACAAATAAACACAAACTCAACAACTATTTCTCCATATAAAAGCCATTTAAAAGACAAATTCCTTGTTAGGCCACAGCACTTTGAATTCCATGCTCACATTTAGAACTGAGATTATCCAAAGTCAATGGGAGGGATTGAAAACAACATTTTTTTCCATGTTCCTTTCATTCCAAGTGTTATCTGACAGCCACATCAGCGTTAATGTTTCTCCCCAACCCATCAAATATTTGATTTCTAATTAAGGCCTTTTCATCTCAGTTGGATTTGTCTCCCTCATCTTTAATTATGTTTCCATCCACGCTGCTCAAGAGCAAGGATTTGCATTTTTACATTATATAGAAATCACATTGTAAATATTTATCAGATGGTTCCCTCTCTGCTGCTCACGGATTTGGGAATTCAGGCTCACAGGAAAGAGGGAATGCTCCCATGTTAACACCCCACTGCTTGTTAGGATTTCATTGCCTCCCATACATTAATTTTCCCTCTCCCTCAACTTCCCATCGCTCCTGCAGGTGCAAAACCCACCTGGGAATGTCACAGACACCAGTGGGAAAATGGGATTGTGCTGGGAGACCCAGGAACAAAAAAAGGCTGCAGAGAGATTTTGTTCTATTTTAGAAACAAACCTTAATAAATCACTGAGGAAAGTCCCAGCTTTGAAGGTACCCCATGGGGCAGGAAGGACAGACAAACTGGGGTTTGGGCAGAGGTCCCCATGGAATATTTCTATGGCATCAACTGATGGGCAAAGGGTGGGAAAGTACTCATTCCTGTTTAGAAAAACAGCTTTGTATGGCTACACGTCTAATAAAAAGCATTTCTTGGTAGGAAGTTGCCTCTTGGAGCACTGGGCTCAAGCAGAAAAATGGGAATTTTACGGAATGTTCATTCTCGTGAGCATCCCAGTGATTTTTAGGAGAGGAAAAGAGGTGCTTTGCCAGGGTGGGAGGTCAGCAGTGACAGGGTTGGGGTAAGATCCGCACTGAAGGGCAGCGCGCCCCGAGTCCCGGGCGAGGAGCGAGCGGAGCTGGCCGCTGTCCGCGGTGCTGAGCGCGCCCGGCCCCGCCGCTGCCCGCGGTGCTGAACGCCCCCGCATCCCGGGGATGCCGCTCCTGCCCCGGGCAGCCCTGCAGGGTGGGAGTGGGGCTGACACATCCCCCTGGACATGGAATGTTCCTGAGACCCCGCCTGGAATGCTGCACCCGGATCTGCTGTCCCCGCAGTAAGAAGGACGTGGAACTGCTGGAGCGAGCCCAGAACTGGCCATGATGTTGATAAGGGGACTGGAGATCTTCCCCTGTGGAGACGGGCTGGGAAGGTGGAATTTGTCAGCCTGGAGAAGAGGAATTTGTGTGCAGAGCTCAGAGCTCCTCCCAGAATCGGAATGGGGATACAAGGAAGACATGGAGAGATTTCACTGGGAGCTGGAGTGACAGAACAAGGGGATGGCTTCAAGCTGAAGGAGGGGAAATTTAGATGGGATATTGGGAAGGAATTCCTCCCTGTGAGGGTGGACAGGCCCTGGCACAGGGTGCCCAGAGCAGCTGTGGCTGCCCCTGGATCCATGGAAGTGTCCAAGGCCAGGCTGGACACTGGGGCTGGGATGGCGGAAGGTGCCCCTGCCATGGCAGGGGTGGGATGGGATGAGCTTGAAGGTCCCTTTCAACCCAAACCATTCAGTGATTTTGGAGGAAAAAGCAGAAACCCATCCAGGAAGGAAAGTTTTGGCACTTTTCTACACGGTAGCAAAAATCAAAACATTTAAAAGGAAGAACATTATTTCAAATTTGTTATACATCTGTCTTCTAATTTCTTTTTAGCAAAAATTAAAGTGCAAAAGGAAAACAAAAGCAAGTGAAGACAACACAGCTCCAGCCTGTGTGCTCCTCATACCATAATCTGATGAGTGATCAATAACAGATCATTTTCAACAGTTAAAAAGCTGTTTGTATTATACACACACGAACCTTTCTTTGCTACAAAGCAGCAGCCAAACAAGATTTCTCCATTTCCCATCTCATCCCTCAAGCTCTGACACTGCACCCGTTCCATCAGCTCTCTCCATGGGGAAGGCCCAGGGGAACCCCGTGTTGTACCCCACAAACACTCGGAGATGGAGCCATCACTTTCTCCCCACAAATACAGAACTCCCAGATGCCCTTCCTGAACTCCCAAACACCCCTAAGTGTCATTTTCCAAACGAGATCAGTGCTGGAGAAACTCTGGAGCACCCAGCAGTGTCCCTGCGCAGGGTACGAGGGACCTCTGGTGGAGGCAGATTCCAGTGGCAGATAAACATTTATATCCTCATTTATTCCTCTAATTAAAGGAACCAAACCCCTTTAATCCATGAAATGTCAGTGTCTAACCCAATAGCCCAACCCACCTTGTCCTCGTCCTCTCCGGCGACCAACTGAAAATAAAGCAGTGCCCTCAGGAATATTTGGTTAAATTCTGTCAAGCACCGTGTCCCAAAATAAACCTGCTGGAAACAGCTTCACTTTGGGCCTGAATCAACACTTGGATTGACACTGGAAAGAGTCAAATTCTCCTCAGAATTCCAAGATCAGAGTTTTTCGTGTGGAAAAGCTCTGTTTGATCCGTGCCTTGGGCTTCACAAGATTAAAATCACTCCAGCTTTGCAACTCAAGGCAGAATTAAATTTATTCAGCTTGAAGAACACCACTAACAATGATTCCCAGATTTTTGTAGGGGTTCAGAAGCCACCAAAAGCTGTCCTGGGAGTGACAACAGCCACTGGCAGTGAGGATCCAACCAAGCTGTTCCCTCCTCAGGAGCAGGGAGACACTTCCTGCACCACACACCAGGGCAATCCCTGCTCCTGGAATTCCTGAATTATTGCATGTGCTCCAGTCTGCAATTCCCTCAAGTCTTGTCTTCTGTCACAAAGCTGAAGGCAACATCTCCAGGCTCTGTATTTATTTAATTATTGGCCTAAAAATCCCAGTTCAGAGGCAATCACAGAGCTGTTTGTATTCCAAAAATGGGATCTGTATTTGGGGTTTATTTAGGGTCAACTTAAAAAGAGAAATGCAGCCTCCAGCCACTGGTCAAGGCAGAATACTTATTCCAAAATCAAATTTAATGTTGATCTCCTAAATCAACTTCTCAAAGTCCCTTTTAACCTCTTTTAGTCTCTTTTTTGACAAAAATCAACCAACAAAACAAAACCAAAAATCAACCAAGAAACCACATTTCTTTTCATGAAAAGCACCACAATTTGAAGTTTTTTTGGGAACACAATATCCTAAACACACAGGACACAGGACCACTTGGAAACCCCTTTTTATCAGCAAGAACATCTCCAAATCTGCTGAATTCCATGTCTGATACCCACAATCACACATCCTGATGAGCCTACAAGAGGAATCTCTGCCTGGAGGTCATTTGAGACACCTAAAAACCCCTTTTTAACCCATTACCAACCCACAACTGAGCTTTCACTTATCCCAAACCCCAGAAAGGAGGGCAGCAAAGGCAAAAGGAGGAATTCCAGCCGGACTCACGGGGGTGCTGCTGTCGGAGAAGGTGTTCATGCTGACAGACCTGCTCATCTTGCCCGAGGCTGGCGACGTTGGGGACATTGGGGACCTTGGGGACGTCGGGGACGTCGGGGATGGGCTGCCCTTGTCCTGTAGCTCCGGGGATGGGGACAGGTCCTGGCGCTGCAGGTGCTCACGCCATGCTCGCTGGATGCTGAGGGAACAAAGGATTTCAGTCCAGATCCCTGGCTCGAAACTTTGGGGTTGGGGGTTCCTGTGTTTTGTTTTCCTGTCTGGGTAAGGATCCCGTGGAACTGCCTCTGCAGGGTTTGTATAAGGCACCACTGGGATAATTTAGGATATTTTTTAAGGTGAATCAGGGGATTCTGGAGTGGTTTGGGTTGGAAAGGACCTTAAACTCTTACCACATTCCTCGGAGTCCAATTCAATCCCAAAACCCATGGAAGTGATTTCAGTTCAGGCCATCCAGAACTCAGAATTTCTCCTACATTCCACAATCAAAATAAAAACATCCATTTTTCCATTTAAAGGAATTAACAACCATCTACATCTTTTTTTTATACCACGTTTCAGATTACAATTCAGATACAAGTGGAATTTGAGAGCTAGAGCAGTATCATGGAATTATGGAATCCTAGAATGGTTTAAGGTAGAAAATGTCATCTCATTCCATTCTCTGCCATGGGCAGGGACAATTTCCACTATCCCAAGCTGCTCCAAACCCTGTCCAACCTGACCTGGAACAATTCCAGCATCCACAACTTCTCTGCAGGATTAACTCCTGGTAGGATTTTTAAGCAATCGAGGGTTTATTCACTGGGATGAGTATTTACATATTTATATTTACATATTTATATTTACATGTATTTCTATTTTAAACCTAGAGAATAGACTGAGCTTAAGTCATAATTACTCTTCTAGAAAACTCCCTGAAAATGGATTATTTTATCTGGTTTTTATTTGCATGACTAAAAGCTTAGAAGACACTGGGTTTAATTTGAAACTTCATGTCCTTTTAATATTTTAATATGCATTAATATCTGAATGGGCTGTAAGTGAGGTGGTGTTTTCTGGACAGAGGCAATTTCTGTGTCAGGGCTGGAGGATCCATGCTGGGAGAAGCTCCAAAAGGAATCCTGGACTCAGATAAATATGTGGGGAAGTTTAATTATTCAAAATCAAGACTTCTAGAATAACTGAAGCCAGGGGAAACTCGGTATCATGTAATGTACAGCAAGAATTAAAGTTACTCTATAATTTGAAGAGAGGATTGATTTAGGATATGAGGAAGGATTTTTTTCCCATTAGGGTAGTGGGGGAGAGATTTCCCACCCCTAAAAACACCCCAAATCAGGCTGACAAAGCTGCCCTACTTGAAGCCATCCCTGCTCAGGCCTGAAAGGTCCTTGAAGGTCCCTTCCAACCCGGACCATTCCATGACTCCGTGATTCGGTGGCGTTGGGGAGGTCGGAGCTCATTCCGGAGCCCCGGGCTGCGCATCCCTCCCTTCCCGGCGCTGCGCTGGGTGTCAGCGTGTGCCATGGCTGAGCCCGAGGGAATCCCGCTTCTCCTGAGCACCCCAGAGCAGGAATGCTGCACTTCCAGGTCTGCTTCCGCCGGGAAATTCCCGGGAAACTGATGTTGGATGGGAAAATCGGCTGCTCCCGCAGGGAAATTCCCGGGAAACTGATGCTGGATGGGAAAACCAGCACGGAAAAGGCTCCATGCTGCCTTCCCTCCTCTGGCTTCTCTGCACACAGGGAAAAATCCAGCAGATTCCCAAATATTCTTGAGTTACGCAGAGGAAATGACAAAATGAGTGCAACACTGATGTTTAACATTTGAAACTGGGGTTCAAAGGGAATCCGTGTGATTCTGTGATCCAGCCCAGGATGGTTTGGGTGGGAAGGGAATGGAAATCCCATCCCACCCCTGCCATGGGCAGGCACACCTTCCCTACTGCTCCAAGTCCCATCCAGCCTGGCCTTGAGGACTTCCAGGGATCCAGGGACAGCCACAGCTGCTCTGGAATTCCATCCCAGCCCCACCCCACCCTTCCAACTAGGAATTCCCAATTCCCAATCTCCCATCCATGCCTGCCCTCTGGCAGTGGGAGCCATTCCCTGTGTCCTGTCCCTCCATCCTTGTCCCCAGTCCCTCTCCAGCTCTCCTGGAGCCCCTTCAGGCACTGCAAGGCCACAATTTGGTCATCTCAGAGCCTTCTCTTTTTTCCAGGCTGAACAACCCCAACTTTCCCAGCTCCATATTCTTACACATAGAGAACTTAATTAATTTGCTAATTGGAAGATCTTTTATCCAGTTACACAGAAAGCCAGGATGGATCCAGTGCGGATCCTGCAGCTCAGGAACTGGACATCCCCAGATGCATTCCAAGGCAGACCCAACACTTTTCCTTACTCACATTTTCACTTTGGATTCCAAGGGCTGGAGATTGATAGGATATTCCTGGATATTATTTTCTTCATCCATGGTGAGCTGATGGCTACGGGGAAGAAAAGGAAATTAGTTAAACGTGTTCCAGCCTGACATTCCTGCAACCCTGTGAATGAATTCCCTAATCTGGACAAGAACAAACAAGAGCTGCTGATCAGAAGGTGTTGCTATCTTTGGAGGAATTTATCTTGACCTCTGTGTCCAGCTCCCAACAAAAAATGGGAATTTGGATCCAGTTTTCCAGTGGTAACCTGCCTGAATCGCTGTTTTAAATCTCCCAGCTGCCACAGCTCCAGGGACAGGCACAGCCAGCAAAAGAGCTGCTGTAAATTAAAACAAACAAACAAACAAACAAAAAAACAAAAAAACAAAAACAAAAAAACCCTGTCAAATCTAACAGACATCCCTGCTAAATTAACTCCCATCCCCACGGCCATGCTGGAAAAGCTGGAGAGGGAAATGGAAAGGAACAATGGGAATGCTGGCAGCAAATGAGTTACAGCAGCAAAAGCCACGTGGGGGGTGAGGAATAAATTCTTTGTAATAAATGATGGCCAAGGAGTTGCTGCTGGGAAGTGAAGGCTCGAAGAAAGCAATCTGAAAATGTTGGAATATCCAAATCCAGCATCTGGGATCACTGCCCTGGATGGGAGCAGCAGCATGGATTGAATGCAGCTCTTGGCAGGAAATTTGGGAGATCAGACCCCAACCTCTGGAGTTATTTTGAGACTTTACTGGGCACTCAATGATATCATTGTCAGAAATTGTCCTCTTGTAACTAAAAATAGGAATTGTTTATGGGAAAAAGGCAAAATTTGGGATGTCTGTGACAAAGAGGATCCCTCAGCAAAGGGTTCACACCTTGGAAAATCCGTTTCACTTTCTCATGGGTGAGGTGTTTTGGAAAAGGCACATTTACCTTTGGAGCGAGTCTTTGCCATCATTGACCTGTTCCAGGGTGTGCTGGAGCCTCCTGAGTTCTTCCTGCAAGGAGAGAGAGAAAAAAATATTGTTATGAGAAGTGCTTGGACATTTCCTCTTAGCCTCAAGACAAAGCAAGTTTTGAGTCAACACCAAAACAAAAACAATCCCTCAGGTGCCTCCTACAAGATTTTAAACTTAAAAATCCATAACAATGACAAAGAAAACAATATTTTATTGATAATCCAGCACAAGTTTGAAAGGAAATATCAGAGCTACAAAAATAAGACACAGAGTAAAAGAGGGAAGTTTTCTTTCTCTTCTTGGGTATCTTTGATTCCAGAGGTGCTCCTGGGAATCTTTGTTCTGCCATCAAAACCTATTCAGGCTCTTAATGAAGAGATTTCCAGCCTGCACCAGTTCCTGTTCCAGCAGTTTAATGTGGCAGATGTGGAGCTGGAAATCCCCACATCCATGGTAATTCCTGGGAAAAATCCATCCCTGATGTTCAGCACAGAGGTTTGGCTTTAAAAAATGGAATTCTTCTGAGGCACAGCTCAGTTCAGAGATAACCACACAACCTTTCCTTCTCCCACATTTTCCTTCTGGCAGTTTTTCCAGCCTCCTCCAGAGCTGGGTACAGTAATTTAGAATGTGAAAACAATTTGCAGTTGACTTTATCCATAGCTCAGGGTGCCAAAAGCTGCCTGACTTCCATAAATCACTCCTGGTGTTTGACATCATTTTCCATTAACCCCGGGGTGAAGACTGAGCAGAGAACAAAAAAAGCAAGAGGCAGAATTGGTTGAGATGTTTTTGACTATTCCGAATGAAACATCACTGGGCAGTGCCTCTAAAAGCCGGGATAAAAGGCAGCTCTGGAGGGGGCACAGCCAAGTTTGCATAATTGGGAAGAGGAGGAGACAGGAAATCGATCCTAATTTCAGTCGGGCATCATTAACCGTGGAGTATCGATCCGTGCTCCTCGCGGCGGGATTTATGGAGCTGCCCGTGGTGCTGATCCCATGGAAAAGGGGTGGGATGCTGCAGCGGCACAGGGGGGGACAGGGACAGCCAGGATGGTGCCACCCCCAGCTCCACATCCTGCCCAGAGTGACCCAGCTCCAGGGAGTTCCTTTGGAATGGATCCACATTCCTGCTGGAACCCAGGTTGAGTTACGGGGCTTCTCTGAGCCCAGATAAAACAAAAATACTGTGAAAATTCCTGGGCTTTTCTTTTCCCTCCTCCAGCTGCATACAGATGTGGACAGGGATTGGGCAGCTCCAGGCAAACACTGAGGGGAAAAAAATCCAGGAAAGCTTGAGGAGCACACTCACTCAGAGCAACCTGAAGTGTCTTTTCATAGTCCTTAACGTGCTCATTCCATCTATCCATTAATTATTTTTCAGCCTGAGCATACCCAGCATCCTGGGGTTTGTTAATTTTATATTTTTCCATTTTTTATTGCTTTAATTGCATGACACACTTGAGTCTAGATTACTTGGGAGAGGAATACGAGGAGATTGGAACACAGGCAGGGTGAATTGCAGCACAGCAGGGAGGGGAAGGCAGGGGGAAATCTCACATGACAGATCCATTTCTGAATTCCCAGGGGAGGGGTTTTCCCCAGAAAAAGCAGGGACCTCTTTTTATAGCTCCAGAGCCTGTTAATTTTAGTGACAACAACAGAGGAGTGTTTGAAAACTGAAAGAAAATATATTAATCCAATTTTCAGCTTTTCAGTGTGGGGGAATGTCTGTAATCCTCACAAAGGAGGGATGAACTAGTTTGGGAATCAGAAGGTTCCTGTAAAAAGTAACAATCCCATTTATGAAAAAATATTATTTCTACAGTATTTTCTTCCTGGGGTTTTAGGAGGAAATCTGAGGAGTGGCTCTGCACAACTCCCTGACAGGAGGGGACAGCCAGGTTGGGATTGGGATCTGCCACCGGGGAACAGGGACAGGAGGAGAGGGAACGGCCTCAGGCTGGGCCAGGGCAGGCTCAGGGTGGACATCAGCAGGAATTTCTCCATGGAAAGGGTGCTCCAGAGCTGCTGAGCAGGGACATCTCCGCTCTCAGACGCACCGGTGGCTCTGAAGATGGTTTTAATTCCAGAGGTTGCTCGGCAACCACATCCCATGTGCAGCACCACCGCTCTTCACCTGGAGCAGGGAAACACTGGATGGCTCCTCAGGAACAAACATTGGGATAACTCCTCAGGAACATTGGGATGGTTCCTCACAAACATTGGGATGGCTCCTCAGGAACATTGGGATGGTTCCTCACAAACATTGGGATGGCTCCTCAGGAACATTGGGATGGTTCCTCACAAACATTGGGATGGCTCCTTTCAAACATCGGGATGGCTCTTCACAAACACCAGGATGGCTCCTCCCAAACCTGAGCAGGGCCAGGGAACAGCGATAGCAACGAGCCACAAGTGCTCCTCCTCAAGTTGTGCCTCTGGTGTCCAGCAGCAGGAAAGGCCAAGGAAACCCAACTGCAGGTGGAACTTGTCTCTCCTCCTTCTCCTTCCCACCAAACCAGTCTGGAATTCCATGGCATGAGGCAGTCTCCAGTGTCCATGGGATATGGAGATGCTGCTCATACTGGAGGCTGGTGGAGCGTGGAACTCCAAGGAAGCCTTGGAGCACACACTGAAGATCATCCCAATCCTGGATCTTTTTCCTCAATCCTGGATCTGTTTCCTCAGTCCTGGGTCTGTTTTCCCAATCCTGGATCTGTTTCCCCAATTCTGGATCTGTTTCCTCAGTCCTGGGTCTGTTTTCCCAATCCTGGATCTGTTTCCCCAGTCCTGGGTCGGTTTTCCCAATCCTATCTAACACACCCAAACCTAAGCAGGTTTTGACTGGCAGCTGAATCAGAAGGGTTTTGAACTGGGATCTTAAACCCCATCTCGTTCCATCAGCTGCCACACTTCCACAGACTGGGATGCTCCTGCAAATCTGACACAGGGATTGGGATGCACAGGACCCTTAAAATCAACCCAGAGCTAAAATAACAAACACTTTTCCCTTGGAGGCCTCACTCCAAAACCAAAGCAGAAGCAGGGCATCATTCCCAGGGTTTCCCAGTTATCTCATTCCCATTCCCACAGGAAATTCCCATCCCATTCCCATTTCCTCGTGTGCCGTGGGAAGCACTGGGCGTTGAGCACAGAGCAGGTTCTGGTTGTTTGACTGACAGAGTCCCCCAGCATCCAGCAGGGCCTTGGGATAAAGGGCATCCCAGGAAAACCTGAAATGCAAACACAAAAAGCAGCGCGGGAAGCCCTGAGATGGAAACTGGTCACATTCAATCTGGGAAAGCAAAGAGCTCCACTGGGTATGAATAATTCACAAACAGCCTCAGACAAATGATTTCAGGTCTGGAAGGAAATGGGAAAACCTCTGGAGGCTGCAGCTCTTTTTATTCCTGCCTGGTTCCTGCTGAAAGCTGTTTTCTCTGGGGTTATTTTTTGCTCTTTAAAAGAAAAATATATATGGATATCTAAACAGGCTGGATGTTCAGAGAACACAGCAGACCCCAGAGAAATCCTTTCATTTTATTTTCATCTCTGGCTGGTAAATTATTCATTAACAGGGATCATGCAATGGGGGAAAAATTAAAAATTGGCAAATTAGTTTTCATTTGTTGACGTTAATTATTTAGTGTTCTTCCCTTTTATTAGAGGAAACACAGAGGAGATTTAGTCTTGCTCTGGCACTCCAAGTTTGCTCCCCAGACAACTCCCAAATTAGCATTGCTGTGGCTACTTCTGTGGAAAATCCATGGGAATGTGACTCCAGGGCTGAGATGTTGGGGCAGAGCTGGATTTCTGAATTCCAGAGAAACTTTTGGATATTTTTCCACAGCACTTTGTAAAAAAAATAGGCAGGTGGGGCTTTATTTCCAGATATCACCCCAGCCATGGCATTAATGGGGATCTCATTAATTAATCTCCCTGAGTTCAGCTACAAACACCCAACATTCCCATCAAGCTCATTCTAATAAAGAAATACCCTGATATTTAATGGGCAGTGGAAATGGAATTGTCTCTGGAGCAATCTGCTTTGGATTTTGCAGCCTCGCTGCCCTGAAGAGCCACAGGAAGGAGAAGTTAATCACAAATGCTGGAGCCAGACTAAAACTGAGCTTAGCTTCCCAAATCTCCAGCTCTCCCTAATCCTGCTCCTCAGCTCACAGGAGCTGCCAGAACTCGTTCAACACCTCATCCAATTTTTCTTCTGTCAGATTTCAGTGGCTGCTCCATCCTGAAAAGCTGGAAAAGCTTTGATTCCTCCCAGCTTTTCTTCCCAGGCAGCCACACAACTCCCAGGCTCAACTCTGATTTTTCTGAAATACTCTCCAAATGAAACCTGCCACTCATTTATATAAATATGTATAAAATAATAATAAAATAATGATTAAAACCCCACCTGGCTTTGTGGGAGTCCCCATTGTGACCAAACTATACCTATTTCAATCTTTTTAACAAGTTCCTGAGAGACAAAACTGCTCCTGGTGCCTGAGAGCAAATCATCCCAGCTGAGAGCAAATAATTTCCAGGGAAGTTCAATTCTTCAATCACAGAGCCAAAATCCAGGTTTTCTGCAGCAGCTGGTCCTGCTGCACTGAATTTCTGTGCTGGGAAACGTGAAGGTGACCCCAGGACCTGCAGCATCCTCAGTTCGTTCAGTCAGGTGGGGTCAGCTTTTAATGAGCTGAATTAAAGAATCTTGGCTTGATTGGGTTGTTAATTCTGCCCTCCCTGGCTGAGGTTTTTGGTGCATTTTTACAGAGGGGCCTTTTCCCAGTCCCAGTTTCCTGCAAGCACACATCCCTAGGAGGATTTCAGAGACAGATCCACCAGGACAGGAAATTAAAGGTCTCAGCTCCCAGACATCACAAGATCAGATCAAAAACCAAATGAAATCCCAACGTTCACAAACAAAACCTGGGATAATGAAAGGAGGCCCTGGCCACGGGGAGAGGGTGGAATTACATCAGCTTTGTTGCCCTTCCAGGACCTTCCTCCAAACTAAACCCAAATGCTGCA